CAAAGCTATGGGGGTCGGTCTGGAAGGTTTACTAGAGAAGAACCATTTTCAAGAGCTGGATAACCTGAAATTTTTCAGATATTCTCGGCTGATGAAAAATACAGTTTTGCACTTGCTGGAACTGATAGGGGATCTACTTAATTAGTTTTCTTTTGTCTTGGTTCTTCAAATTTCACAATTTTTGTTAAAATGCATGCAGAAAATGAACATTGAAGGGAGGAGGAGGTCCTGACGCACACCGCAAAAAATAACATGACAAAAAAATTTACGAGAACCCGAAAAATTTTGCTAGTCAATTTGTTTGACATTGTCAGACATAAACTTGTGGTTATGAATGTGCCTTTGAGCATTGTGAAGTTAGCCAAACAGAAGAATATTACGCTGTTGCCAAGTACTTTATCCGTTTACCTAAACACTGTTTAGTTCTAGACGGTGCAAATCAGAAATATATAAACGTTGATTAAAAACAAATCATTGATTAGCTAATCACTGTTTACGAGGAAGACGGAACAAACGGGCATAAACATCCAATAGTTATTACCAACAAATCATAATTTTCTCAGTTAATCATAATATACGAACATAACCGTACTTTACATTCAGGCACACAATGCACACTATCACACGTCAGACAAAAGTACTGGCCTCTCAATGGCAGAAGTGCCGTGAGGTATCAAGTTCGCAAATGCGTCGAATGTTTCAGAGCCAATCCACGTCCCAATACTTATCCCAAAATGGGAGATTTACCTCAAAAGCGTGTTAGTCCGTCAAGACCATTCTTATCAATTTCGGTCGATTATGCTGGGGTCGTATTTTCGAAACCATGCGATTTTTTTCGCATGCGATCTATTTCGAAGGAAAAAAGTCGTGTACGAACTAAAATGCGTATTTTTGAAGGCCCTTCGAAAATGATATCGTATACGAGTATCATTTGCGTTGGCAACGTCCCAAATTCGAGTATTTGGTAATGGCCATTTCGACCGATACAAAAACGAAGAGGTATTTTTTGACATTTGGCTTTTTAAAAATACCATAACACTCCCTATTTTTGCTGTTAACCTATAAACTATCCAAGATGCCGTCAAACTTAAATGAAAATTGTCTACCAAGAGGCACACAAACCCTTTGTTTAGGTGTTATCAAATGGTGTTATGAGTTTTAAAAAGTGCTAATTGTGAAGTATCTACGTATATTTAAAACTGTTGTATTTATGTTAGAAATAGTGTATTTAAATAGTGTACGTGAATAGTAGTTCGTGTTCTTCCTGCCGGCCATATTTTGCTTGTCAAAGTCTTTTTTGTATTTTGTGGCTGTTTATTGAGTTTATCAAGTATTATTTAGTCTATTCTGTTAGTATAGATCTTGCTGAATAAATTTTGTGCACCTAATCGTTGGGATTTCCTTGAACGTCCTTGTTTTTTATAACGTTAATTAACAATCTTGGTTTTTGGAGGGTTTGTGTCTGCTGAACAAAAGAAAGATTTAATTAGCTTCATGGAGGAGCATCCAGAACTAAAAATCTGGAAAATTCAGCTTTCAGGAGCTGAAAAAACATTAGAAACATTGGCGCAAAGTAAGCACATCAACCAAAGTTCTTCGAGGGCACCAATAACATTTCTTTCGATTAAATAATCCCAGCCAGCCATTCCAAAAACTGTCTTTTAATAAAACAGGACAATTTATAATCCGCAAATTATTTGGAAACGAATGAAAAGTCAAAAGGAGAACGAACATCGAACACAATTTTCAATTTGCACAACGTATTTAGGTAGGTACATAAATAACAAATATAACGTATATTAACAAAATGATTAGCACTTCAAAATTCCAAGCAATGCGCAGAATCAAGTAAAATCGCATGCGAAATGGGACATTCGACTGGTGGAGACCCACTCGTGTAAACGTACACGAACCAAATCGTGTACGGACCGTTCGAAAGTGATTCGAAAATACGGAACCCCAATTTTCATGCGAATTTCGGCTTATTTCTTATACGAACGGCATTCGAATGGTTTCGAAAATACGACCCCAGGGGGTCAATTCTTGAATATTCTCGCATACGAAAGTTGGTACGAATTCGAATGACAGCAATGTAAATTGAATAGGGAACCTTCGAAATCATCTCAATTTTCGCATGCGAGATTATTCAAGAATTGGGTCCCAGGGGTCGTATTTTCGATTTGGTTCGTGTACGTTTACTCAAGTGGGTCTCTACCAGTCGAATGTCACATTTCGCATACGATTTTACTTGATTCTGCGCATTGTTTGGAATTTTGAAGTCCTCAAATCCTTCTTATTTTGTTTATATACGTTATATTTGTTGTTTATATACCTAAATACGTTGTGCAAATTGAAAATTGTGTTCGTTGTTCGTTCTCCTTTTGACTTTTCATTCGTTTCCAAATAATTTGTGAATTAAATTGTCCTGCTTTATTAAAAGACAGTTTTTGGAATGGCTGGCTTGGATAATTTAATCGAAAGAAATGTTATTGATGCCCTCGATGAAGCGGAAATACTGACAGATCATAGGGATAGGGTGTTACATCCCTTTCTTGATCCGCTGGAAGAATGTTCGGCTATTCAGCTCCGAAAATTATATTGCCTGACGAAGCCACTCACCTCGGAGTTGATAGAGCTTTTAGAGCCCCATCCAAAAACCATGATTGTTCGTTAACGTTATAAAAAACAAGGACGTTCAAGGAAATCCCAACGAATAGGTGCACAAAATTTATTTCAGCAAGATCTATACCAGCGAAATAGACTCAATAATACTTAATAAACCTCGTGATAAACTCAGTGGATAAACTCAATAAACAGCCACAAAATACAAAACAGAAAAAGTTAACAACAGCCTATCCAAAACACGTGACTGATAAGCAAAATATGGCCGGCAGAAGGAACACAAACTACTATTTGCATACACTATTCAAATGCACTATTTCTAACATTAATAAAAACAACAGTTTTAGGTATAAGAACTCAAATAATTCACAATAAGTACTTTTTAAAACTCATAACACCATTTGATAGCAAATAAGCAAAGGATACGCATTTTAGTTCGTACACGACATTTTTCATTCGAATTAAATCGCATGCGAAAAAATTCGCATAGTTTCGAAAATACGACCCCACGTCCTTACGAATTACGAGCTAGCAAACTACGATCAAATAAATTAGCTAAAGGTTACATATGCGTATTTGTGTGCTGTTCAACTAAAGCAGTTCATATTGAACTTATAACAGATTTAACTAGTGACGGCTTTCTGAATTTGCTTAAACGATTCGTATCACGTAGAGGCGTTTGCAAGGATATTTTTTCAGACAACGGCACTAATTTTGTTGGTGCAAATAACATAATCATTTCGGTGCAAGATTTAGTTGAGAAAAGTAACTTTCAGGGTTACATGAATCATTCAAAAATTAAGTGGCACTTCTTGCCAGCACGTTCGCCTCATTTTGGAGGTCTCCATGAAGCCGCAGTTAAATCCTGCAAACACCACCTAAAACGTGTTCTCAAAGGCGTTCATTTAACTTACGAGGAATTTTGTTCTTTAACCTGTCAAATAGAGGCAATTTTAAACTCCAGGCCTTTAATCCCTGTTTCAACCGATCCTCACGACCTAGACGTTATAACATCAGGGCATTTTATAATCGGAGAGCAACTCACAGCAGTTCCAGAACATTGTCTAACAGATCAAAAGGTTAATCATGTGAAACGCTATCTTCACATACAACAAATAAAACAGCACTTCTGGACTCGTTGGAGCAAGGAATATCTCCATTTGCTACAAGTCAGGAACAAATGGCAGTTTGATAAACCTCCCGAATTCCACCTTAATTCAGTGGTTTTGATTAAGGAGGAAAATGTCCCTCCAATGTGTTGGCCTTTAGGCCGAATCGTTGAAATCCATCCCGGCAGTGACAATATCACCAGAATGGTCAGTGTGAAGACTAGAAATAGTGTTGTTAAGCGTGCGGTAAATAGGTTGTCGTTATTGCCAATTGCTGATTGAAGTGCTAAAGTGAAATCGCTAGTGTAAAAATAAGCAATTATGCTTTTAAAGCCAATTGAATGACTTGAAACAGATTTTCATAAATTTTGATTCAATTGAATCTAAAATATTTGTTATTCAAATAGTTTCAGAATTGCATTAAGGTAAAATTAAGAAATGTTATAGACTAGCTTAAGTTTTTCTTTAGGACTTAGTTATTAAGTTACTCTGAATCTTTGTTTTTTATAAATTACTTATGTGTATTTTGAAAGCCGCAGCCTTTCAAGAGGGACGGTTATGTTAGAGCTAAGGATTTATTTCATTTATTGTATCATATTAGTAGATATGGCAACACGGCTGAAGCCCTGAAAACTTGGCGCGACCGCGCTTGTCATATTATGTCACTCGGCGTAGGAATATTGGAGCTGAAGGGCGGAGCTTGGAGCCGTTGCCGAGGGCCGTTGCTAGTCAACAGTCAGCCATTCTGCCTCGTAAATTGTACTGTAATGCAAGCATTTATTTTCTCGTAATTAAAAACGTAAAATTGAACAAGTGGGTTCTTATTTCTACAAAATATTACCTGTCGAAGGAACCCAGCAACAATGGGTGGTATGAATAAAAACGAAGTACTTGCTACTACTACAAGTATTAGTATGTTCTACGTAGTATTTACTTCAAAACGAAGTAGATACTACTAATTCAGTAATTTCCGGTAGTGTCGAACCACCCAATGCTACAAACTTGACAATTGTAAGGTAAACTTTGAACCTCATCCTAATTTTTTGATGGCTTCGTTTGTACGCGTATACGTGCAAACTTATATAATTTATCACTCAGCGCATTTTTTTAAATAAACCAGCATCAGGATATGAAGAAAGTGTCTTTTATTAACAGCCAATTTCTAAAAGAACATTACAAGTAAAAACAAATATACATGTATTGGGCTTTTTAATCCGTTACAATAAATAGGTACTATAAATATAAATATTATACTAAATAGTTTATTTCTTATCTACTAAGCATTTCTTGAATTTCCGCCACCTTCTTTCCCTTAGTTTCAGGTACGACAAACTGGATAAACACAATCCCAATAACGCAGCAAACGCCAAACAACCAAAACGATTGGGCCATACCCAACATTTCACTAATAATTGGAAAAGCCATCGTAACAACAAACGACACTCCAAAGCATGTGCCTGACGCCAAAGCCAATGCACTCGATTTCACATTATCAGGAAATATTTCACTGAGTATTGTCCATGGCACTGGACCAAGTCCCAAATTGAAACTAATCATATAGAGTATGAGACATGTGATAGGAAACCACCAGAAATATGCTAGCATAGCAAATTGTAGTTTTTGCAAAAAGAAGTATAAGCCTAGTAGAATAATTGATACAGCTGATCCAATGGTTGATATTAAAAGTAGGAATTTCCTTCCAAGCTTCTCGATGATTGATGCTGTTAAGAATACAGTGACGACTTGAATGGAGCCTACAAATGTTGTAGCCATTTGAGTAGGTACACTACTTCCACTTGCTCTAAATATGCCTTCCATAAACCCAATCACGGCATTGATACCGGAGAATTGTTGCAGTATTAATAAGCCTGCAGCTACCATAAAACCCTTACGTGTACCTTTACCTCTAAATAGGACAACAACTCCACCTTTTTCTCTGCCTTGTCGTTCTTCAATTCTTTGCAGCTCTTCTACTTCCTTTTTAGCCTGGTCTCTGGCTATATTGCGTAAATTATGCAGAGCTACTTCAGCTTCATTATATAAACCTTTCCTGACTAAATAAGTTGGACTGTCTGGTGCGAAAATAGTAAATAGCACTATAAAAAGTGTTAGTGGGACTAAACAAGACAGACAAAATACTTTTATGGAAAGCATGGTGCCTATAGAGAAGGGATAGAGTACACCAAGGGCTACGAAAATACCCAGAATGCAGCTGAATTTTCCTCGGTTGTGTTCTGCTGTGATTTCACCAGTGTACATGGTTAGTACTGTGAACACGCCACCATTGCCAATACCGTAAAGTAATCTGAAACGAAAAAAAAAACATCACTAATTAAATATCACGGTCCCTGTAGCACTGATATTTTTTAGGGATGCGAAGTTTAATTTGACACCTATGATTACAAAGTGAGTGAAGTTGGTGAACCTTCAAGTATTTTCAAAGGTATTTGTTTCACCGTTTCTAATCTTGGGACCCATTTCTAGAGGTCCTTATAAACTGTTTTTTCTAATGTGTTATTAACTCTCCAAATTTGTTTGTGTTCCTGGGTCTTTGTTTTCCATTTTCAGTATTTATTAGCAGTTTGCTATTTTTATTTAACAATGGGCTCTTTCACTAAGTTTTGAAATTGGCATATTTGGATAAAGCAACTAAAAACAGAATTTTCTGTATTTTTACTTTTGAAAAATTCAAAGTCCTTCTTGAGAAAACAGAAAACAAAGAAATACCTCCAAATAAAAACCCAGAATTTATTTCTATGACGTCGCAGCTCGCAATTTGACCGTGTTGCCACTAATTGTCAACATCGAAAATTTGTAATAGATTTAATTCTGAAATGTTGGCAAAATCTCATGAAAAGTAGTTAAATTAATTAGTTATAGATTCAAGATTTTATAACATTTTTTTTTAAATTATGCTTAAACACAATTTAATGCAATTTTTTATGTTTAGTTTTATTTATTTATTTTACACTGCACTACATTTAGTCACAACCTACAACAGCGCATTCGAACCTTTACGTATCTTTACAGAGCGCAAACACAGCCGAGCCGGTCCTCCTTACAACAACATAAACGAAATGAAGAATATTTATGTGACATCGGCAAATCGGCGCGTTTAAAATTAATTTGAATTTGGCCACTTTTGATTGCCTGTGAAAAACTTATTGAACCTTGTAGAGCATTTTTTTTTGGTATATATGCCCAAAATAGTCCCTCCTTTGAGATTTTATACTTAAATTACGTATTTAAATTTTAGTGAAAGAGCCCATTGCTTTATAGGTTCAATAGTAACATATTGTTGTAGATCATTGTTCCTAGATGTTAAACATTTTTAAAATGTATTGTTTATGTAAGTTTGAAATAGATAATTTTTATAAGAGGTGTCAAATTTCAAACTTATTGAACTCATTTCAACTTGCGGCGTTGTAACCTTTTGAGTTTTTGGAGGTATCCATTGAATCTACCGGATTTTGACTTATGTTAAACATCTCGTACCCTTTCATTAAATAATTTAATTTCCTCATCTTTTAAAATTAATAAGAATTACCTTCCAAGATAATAAAGTTTCACTTCACTTGCAAATGCTAAAATAGTGATGCCGATAACCATAGGCATAGCGATGGCGATCAACGTTTTTTTTCTGCCGATTTTGTCAGCCAAATAGCCATAAAGAAAGGGTCCTATCGCTGCGCCAACGCACAAAATGGCGGCTATGATACTTTCTTGAGAAGCGTCGATGGGGCTGCTTAGAGGGCTGTCGGCCTCTTTGAGTTTTGGTAGAACTGGAGAACTCCATGCGAATCCTATGCCTGCGGCGAAACCTAATAGGTTACCTAGATGGATGAGAAAAAAGAAAGTTTAGAAATTATATAAGTGAAGGTATTGATGACGATGATCGCAGAAAATTTACTATTTTCCTAGAATATGGTGCCGAGAGTTTCTTCAATAAAAATTGTGACAGTTATCTTTTCCAAAGAACATTCAAGAAATTTGGTTACTATAACTTCAGAAATTTAATGACATTGGCAAAAATATACAGGGTGTTTGGTAGATCGATGGGAAGTTTTTAATGAGTGATAGTTAGTGTCATTTGGCAGCTGTTTGACCACATTTACCCTTATGCAAAGTTTCGTCGTTTTTGAGATATCAACATTTTTAGATATTATTGAATTTTTTCTAAAACATATTGTTTTTTATGGTAGTAAACACTTTGGCCTTTCTCAATTTTTTTTCGATATTCCTTGTAATGTATTCGCATTACAAAATTAATTATTAACGAACGTCCCTCGTAGCATCGATGGCCTTTAGTGATGAGCGAGACTGGTCTTGGTCTTGCGGTCTTGGTCTTGGTCTTGCAGAAAATGCAAGACCAAGACCAAGACCACTATTAAACTGCAAGACCAAGACCAAGACCGGGCAGTGCAAGACTTATGCGAGACCAAGACTTAGCATTGCAAGACTTACGCAAGACCAAGACCAAGCATGCAAGAGTCTTGCGGTCTTGCGTTTTTGTTCCATTTTTTTCTGAAATTTACTAAAATTTGGTATGTATTTGATATAGTTGTTTGTAGTTGAATATAACATTTATCTAACTATTGTCATAGGCTCTGTTACTGGTATTGGGGCCTACCCTATCCTAAAACTTTGGAGAATATAAAGAATTCCCACAAACACAATTATCAAACATATCTATATATTTCTCTTCTCATAAAATGTTGTTTGGCTCTAGCTCGGGTGAAAAAATTGGTGAACTTAGTCCAGCTATTTTTTTGATAAAACTAGTTTCTCTAAATACCAGTGCGATTTTGTTATTCGCTATCCAAGTATGGAAAATTCTGCAGCTTTTCTGCAGAAGATTGAAGTTAGGGTACTTCTAACTTCTATTTTTGTAACGTCATAGACTGTGGTGATAGAGACATAATATGCAGGAACCTGTTCAAACTATCAAACTTATATTTCGACGTTCCATTCACATATGGAAAAAGAAAGTATGCACCTTATCCTTGGAAAAAAAAAAAGATGAATTTTCTTATGTCATAAAAATCACCATAATATGCACAAGTTCAGCAGCAGTGCAGTATTATTACGTTAAAACTGAATTTACAGAAGACTGTTTTTTCCTTTTCCAGTGAAGATTTAATGCTTACACGCCCCTGTGATATGGGAAATGCCACTAAAAAACAATCTTTCCGATTATATAATCCGTTTTTTTGTTTTTTTTTGGGAAGAATTGGATGTTTTTTTCTTTCGAGAAGTGAGAAATGAATGGGGAAAATAAGATTTTTTTCTGTTCAGATGAAACAATATACTTGTCACTTCTTCTGTTTTCGGAAGTGTGGTGAGCGTAAACAGCTACTTTCAATAGGTAATATCCATTTTTACGTACACCATTAACATTAATATTTGACTCTCGTCCACTGGCCTATTTTTAAGGTAGGGGAAAATAAAAATTTGGGTTAGTTTTTTGGAAGTTTTGTTAACCCTTTGGGTCAATCTTTTTCAGTTTTGTAATGTTATAGCTAACATAACTGATAAAAATAGGTGCTGAGTATGATAAAGCATAGGCTTGATGGCGCCACTTTGACACTCTATATCTCGAAAACTACTCGATGTACTCCCCTTTTTTTTTGCACGTAAACTATAAAGGCAACATGGACTACATCATATAAAAAATTCAGACAATATGACCGAAACCGATTTTCTGTGTATTTAGTGCGTCGTACTTTCCAATGTAAATCGAATTGGTGTTTGAAAGTAAAAGATTTTTCTGTCCATAAAATTTTTCATTTGCTGTGAAATGCATGAAACTGATGTACACTTTCTTCATTGAGTAATCATAATTTTGGTTTATTTCTAATCCCAGCTAAGGTAACGGGCCCCCAGTGACTTAGATATACTATTGAAAGAATAGCTGCATGAGATTATCAAGAAAATAGATAGATACTTACATTTCAACTCAATTATAGATAGGCATAAAAAAATCAAATGAAATGCTCGTTTAAATAAAATGGTTCTTGTGTTAGCGCCGTCCGCAATTAATTGTAAATATCAGTGGCGCGCCCATAGGGGGCATCGGGTTGCCCCCCCCCAGGCCGCTCTCCAGGCCTGTATTTTTACGTTTAAGAAAATGTGGCAACATCAGGGCGTGGCACCCTGACACCTCAATTTTTTGTTTAGATTTTTAGACACAATCCATAACCTATATGTAGGGCCCCCGCAAACATATTCTCTGGATGCGCCACTGGTAAATACAAATAAAGATGTTTCAGTATTACAGGGACAAACTTAAACAAGTGATCCCTTGTTTCTTTGAGCATTTTTTACTTGAAAAAATTGCCTGATTTAAATACTTGTTAAAATTTGCTACTGTGATAGAGGTACTCAATATTGAAAAGCCAAAATTTTGATACTGGCATATACTCTCCCTTTCTTTAAACATTTACTTACTTTAAGTAGCATGAAAAACGATTTTTTTCAAAATTTTCTTTGTTAAAATTCCCTGCAGTAAAAATCTACCAAATAAATGCAAGACTTGCAAGAGTCTTGCTGCAAGACCAAGACCAAGACTGGACCCTGCAAGAGACCAAGACCACTTATTAGACTGCAAGACCAAGACCAAGACCAAGACTAGCCCGGTCTTGGTCTTGGTCTTGCATTTGCTCATCACTAATGGCCTTGGCCATGCGCGATAGTTGTCGATACCTATCGATGAATGTGAGGGCGCGAGAATCGTTCTCTTCCTGTTCGACCATCATGTGAGAAACATGTAACCAAGTGAAATAAACCATTCATAAAAAGTCTAAGCCTATCCACTCTTTTTATCACGTCACTCCGTAACACTGGCGACGAGGATGGGATAAAGAAAAAAAAAGAAGACTGAAATCCGCATTCCTGTAAGTTTAGAAATTCCTTTGTCCATTGTCTGAGCACAGAAGCTAAACCAAATTTTGCCATGGAGCACGTTGGTTTTCAACCTTTTAACCCTTTTGATGGTGATTGGTTGCTCTGTAAAGAGCAACTAGAGCAATTTTTTGAAGTCAAAGAGATAACCAGTGATAAAAAGAAGGTTGCCAATTTGCAGTCATTGATAGGAAACGATATCTACAAACTTTTCCGAAACTTATGTGTCCCCAAATTACCTAAGGAACTAAACTATGGAAAGTTATGTGACCACCTAAAGAGCCATTATGTGCCAGTTACTACAGCCTTCAAAGAAAGATGCAATTTTTACGACATCAAACAATTTCCAAGCGAATCTCTGGCTAATTATTACGCAAGAATCAGGAGCCATTCTGCATTATGCGAATTTGGCATTAACTTACCCAGTATCATTACCGACAAATTCGTGTGTGGGCTACACAAGGGACCTATTAGGGACAGAATTATGGAAGAAACAGTCACCACCGAATTTCAAGACCTTTTGAAGATCGCCATGGCTAGAGAGGCGGTCTTGAAGACTGCATGCAACAAAGTTAATTTCATCAGACCTGGCAGACCCCAGGATCAGAGGTTTGGAGATCCTGGACGATTTGGCTCACCACAACCACCACCATTTTACAGTCAACACCTCAACCCCCGAGGCAGGGTGCCTAAACAACCAGTAGCTTCAGGAATGACAACCACAAATAGACGGGAATGCAGGATTTGCGGGAAGTATCATTTTAATAAATGTCATTTCACTAATAGTAAATGTAATTTGTGTAGGAAAATTGGTCATTTAGATAGAATAAAAGATCTAAACATAATAATGGGCTCTTTCACTAATTTTTGAAATTGGCATATTTGGATAAAGCAACTAAAAACAGAATTTTCTGTATTTTTACTGTTGAAAAATTCATAGTCCTTCTTGAGAAAACAGAAAAAAAAGAAATACCTCCAAATAAAAACCCAGAATTTATTTCTATGACGTCGCAGCTCGCAATTTGACCGTGTTGCCACTAATTGTCAACATTGAAAATTTGTAATAGATCTAATTCTGAAATGTTGACAAAATCTCATGAAAAGTAGTTAAATTAATTAGTTATGGATTCAAGATTTTATAAATTTTTTTAAAATTATGCTTAAACACAATTTAATACAATTTTTTATGTTTAGTTTTATTTCTTTATTTTACGCTGCACTTCATTTAGTCACAACCGACAACAGCGCATTCGAACCTTTACGTATCATTACAGAGCGCAACACAGCCGAGCCGGTCAGCTCCTTGCAACAACATATAGTGGAATAAAATCACTGCTCTAACTCGCTGTTTTCTGAGGGTGGGTGATTTTGAGGTATAACCAGGGGAAACCTATATCATCTTGTAGAGGACACTTTGGGGCATAGGAAATGGGAATGTACAACTTTTTTTAATAGGACTGGACTTTGAAATCGGCCCTTAAACGTGACAGCTCGAATTTGAAAAACTATGTTTTTCTAAACATTACCCGCTGTATTAATTTAAGCATACAATCTAAAATTCTGATTTTTTGCACACTTATACTTGAAATATGAGCGCTTCTAATAACAGTTCAGAAATTTCGAAAAGGCTCAAGGTTTTTTTGTTGAAAAGTTAGGAATATAGAATTATCAAAATCGTGCATCTTAAACTTCACCCTGCGGGAGCAATGTGTATTATTGAAAATTTCTATACATATATATCGAATCAAATGTAGTAAAAACATTGACGAAGTTTTTAGAAAAAAAAATGAGGTGCTAACTTTAACGGTTATAGAAATATACATTTTTATCCAAGAGCCCTGGAGTGCGCTCAGACCATCGTGAACCGCGTCGCGACGCAATTATTTGTGCATTCACCGAGAGGTGCATTTTCTGACTTTTCCAGTTTTGTGCGTTCGTATGCGAAAAACAGCTAAGTCTGATTTATTATCAAAGTTTGAACCATATTCCAACAGTCGCTTCTCTTCGAACTGATGTTAAACAAGGGTGTGACTAAAAAAAGCAACTTAAGGTACTTAAATCAAGAAAAAAAATCAA